ACAGTTTTCCTAACGACGTGAACATGCTGAGGAACTTCCAGGTGTGGTCATACCTAGACTAGGCATGACCATACCGAGGAACTTTCGGGCGTGGTCACATTACATACTGATTTTTTGACCAATTTTGCTGCTCTGGACCAAGGAATGATGTCCATGCAAGTTCTATGTAACAAAAAATGTGGTCAACAATGCTCATTCTTATTGATTCCAACAAAATATGTAATAGTAATCCTATATTATAAAATATGTTGAAAAATGCTCAAGTCCTTCATAATATGAAGTAAAACAAACCTTAAATAATGAACTTGAACACTCTTGTATCTCTTCTATGATTTAACGATCACATTCTTATTATATGGCCTCCTGTACTAGTTTGGCATATAATAAATGTTTTCATAAATACATTTTCATGCATCCTGGACTAGAGCGTAGCTCGGATTGTGGTTTTTTTATGTGTAAGGGCCAAAATTAACATTTAGTTTATAATTTTGCTCATAAGATAGAAGTATTTTCTTATATACATGCTTATTTTATAGTACTTTTAATACATTGCATGCTTGGTTAGCATCATGTTGTGTGTGATTAAATAAAGTGCAGAAGAGATTTAGTTGTTTTCTATTGTAGACATTCTTATTTTTTGCTTTCTTTATCTATATTTTAGTTTATGAAAGCTACGTAGAAATGTGAGGTAATTTAGGTGGGAAAGTTTTCATACATGAATTAGGTGGATCCCCATATAAGGACTTTGGGTCTTATCTATATTTTAGTTTATGAAATCTACGTAGAAATGTGAGCTAATTTAGGTGGGAAAGTTTTCATATATGAATTAGGTGGATCCCCATATAAGGACTTTGGGTGCGTTTGGGGCAGCTTAACAGTTGCGGCGGCATTTTGAAAACTCCGCATCACCGTTTGAATCATGCGTTTGAAGAGCTTATGCAAAAACATATTTTTTATTTTACATTAGATGCGGGCTGTGGGTCGATCCCCGCGGTCCGCATTTCACGAAAATTTGGACAGGCTGCCCCTCGTCTGGTTCGTTCCTTCCCTCGTCTCGTTCGTTTCTGTCCAGGTGAAGAATCGCAGAGAGGAGAAGATCTCAAGGTCGAGCCTTCCTTTGCATGCAGACATGACAGTTCCCGCACGCAGAATCTTGCGCGCCCTTCCTTTCTCTCTAAGTTCACGACCGAGCTTCTATAGGCTGCTCAAGTCCTTTGCTCTTCTTCCTTCCTCTGCGAGACGCATGATACAGACTCTCCTTCCTCTTCTGCGATTGCTTGCTACTGCTGCGGGTGGCCTGTGGTGACATCGGAGAGGAGCGTGCCAAAGGAGGATATGGGATTTGATGGTGGGAGCTTTCTGGATCTTGATGCCTTCATCGGTGGAAATGGAGGGGATCTCTTGAATGAAAGTGATAAGATGAGGTCCTCTTTTTACCTACCTTACTGTTTTTACCTACCTATAGGAAACAGAAAGAAAATAAAATCAATAACCATTTGATTGAGAAAATTTTATTAGATACTTAATAAGGAATTTAATTATGGTATTCTTCAAATCTTTTATAAAGTTTAGTGGCATGATTTGTTCAAATTAATAGTAAAAAATAGATTTAGATTTTAATTTAGGAAGAGTCGGATATGATCTCATACTCAAATTCAATATTAGAATCAATTGTTTATATCATGACATGTTTCGAAGTCCTTGCAAGTGGATCCAAATTTTGTTCTCGAGTGTTGTAAGATGCAATAGTGTGTTATTTATCAATTAAAATCATCACTGCATCAATCAAATTAGCCACTATTTTTCAAATTCTCACTCAAATATCAAAATCCATGGTAAAACCCGAACCCCTATATAGCTATGACAATTTTGTTGCAAACAATACTACTGCACATGGGCAGGATGATCATTTATCCAGAAACAGCTGCAAATCAGTTGTTTTCGAAACGCACAAACCAAACAGCCAGCTAGCTTATATGAATCAGTTGCTGATAAACAACTTATTAGGATAAACAATTTATATGGATAAGCTGCAGCTGCCCTAAACAAACTCTTCATGTCATATTTATTTTCATCAAAGAATATAAGTTTGGTTTATATAATACAAAACATTTATATTTTTATTTCCTTTTTAGGTGTAATTCAAAATCTAACTTTGTTGTAGATGTTTACACTTTCATATTTATGCATTTTTAAACACATTATTTATAATCATTTCATTTAAAGATTCATACTCTTTCTTAGAACATTTATAATTATATCATAATCGAACAAATTTGCTTTTATTCGGCTCTTATAATTTAAATGATAAAATCAATAATAAATGTTGATATTCTACTTAAATTAATGCAGTTCTTTTCTCCAAGTCATTATAACTATACATTTTTAGTAAACATTGTGCTAACTATCTTGCCCATTAAGATTATGTTTGATGGGGACCGGCAAGTACCTTCAATTGATATTCGTATGTTCATGCTATATGACTTTACATAGTAGAGCAATGTTCTCCCTCATATTAAGGACTATATAGTTAAATAAAATTTGCATAGTCCTATTCATTTTATATCCTTTATAGTTGGATTGCCTTTGCTTTATTAGAAAATATATTAACCACACTTCTTCATTTATAACAAACCAACTATATCTTGTATTATCATTGAAAGTTTTGTAACATAAATTTTAAAATTTTTTGATAGTTTTAATTTGAAATCAATTTTAAATAGTATCATAAGACTAATGTTAGGCTTTCTTAACATCTTATATGGTTTCAAATTGTAAGTATCATCACTCTAGTTCATATTACATTTGGATGGAGGGTTGTGTCATAATGATATGCGAAATTACTATCATATATTCATGTTTGAAGTCAATATACTTTCATTAAGCTATGAGTCATCACTCTTGGAAGTTCTCTAATGGCGCAATGAACATTATTGAAGAATAATAAACCTTGCTCTTTAATAGTTTAATTAACTTTAACTTATAATATACATGTATATATTATGAGTAAGATGGATTGATAATTTAAATGTTAGAAATAAAGAAAAATTAATTTAAGATATTAATTTTTTTTATATGCAAAGGTCAAATATTACATAAATTAGTTTATAGGTATGGTTAAAGCTTAAATTAATGTGGGTAAGTGAAAAAGGGACTAAAAGGCATGACCATAAAATTTTAAATTTTATATAATATATAAGGAGCATTTACATGCAAACCAAAAAAATCTTATATATTTACATAACTGACTCGTAAATTTGAGTTTTTAATTTTATGTCACTCAAATATTTCACACCACATAAAATATATTATCATTTCAACTTTTGAAATTGAAAAACATCTTTTCATGGCGAGATACAATGAAATGTATTAAAACATAAGTGTTAAATATCTGACAATAAAGCCAACTAAGGTAACTCCAAACAGTGTATTTACTAAGTTGAAATCTTTCAACAACATATAAAATATTTTGCTTCTAACCAGCTAACCAACCATCTATGAAGTTTATCAATGAGAATATGACAATCAACAATATCAATTTTGGAAAGCTTAATAGTAATGTAAAGATAATTCCAATGTATGTTTGATATTAATACCACTAATATTATGTAAACACTATTGCACATGAGGCTTCATAAAATTTAAAAAATAGATTGTAGATTTAGAAGGATTAATAATCAAATTAGAAGCTTGACGAAAGATATTTAAAATATTTATCACATTAAACATATCAATAGTCTTGATTTTACCAAAAATCAATAAATCATCAACATAAATTAAATGAGAAACATGAGAAATCTCTCGATGCATATTATTCATATTAAGAGCATTCATCATAGAGGAAAGAGCATCCATCCCAATAGTAAATAAATAAGGATGAATATGGCAACCCCGTCGCAAGTCAAAGGAAGAGGAAAGTAGTTATTAAATCACCATTCATAATGATAAAGAAATACACATCAACCATACAAGCTTGAATCATTTTAACAAAATAGTAGGAAAACCCAATTGATGTATTCTATCATAGAGAAATTTCTATTAGCCTTGTCAAATACTTTCATCTAGTCAATTTTACAACAATTCTTTCGCTGGAATTAAAACCATACAAAAACTCATTAGTCAAATAATATTATCATTATAATGATCCTTAATGAAAGCAACTTGAGCAGGGTTAATAATATTGCCAAGAACATTATTAAATCTATAAACTAAAAGCTTAGCATTAACCTTGTAGAAAGTGTTACAAAGACAAATCAGACACAAATCATTAAACATTTGAGTCCCATGCATTTTAGGGATTAAAGTGATAGCGTAATGCTTAATTCTATGAGAAAGCTTAACACAATCAAAACCAGCAATATGGCAAGTGTGCTTAAAAAAATATAGAGGAGAAACCATCAAAATTTGGAGTTTAAGAACTCCCAATAGAGTGAAAAACAATTTTAATTTCCTCACTAGTAAACCAACTTATCAAATTCAAATAAAGTTAAAGCCTTAATAACAGTAAAAGAATCAGCAAGAATAGAAGAAGCATTGCCCAAGCTGTTAAGCAAAGAACTAAAAAAAGAAAAGGTCCACTTTAGCAATATCTTTTTGGTCACTACTATAGTTTTTATTAGCTAAAATTTATTTAATATAGTTAAAAATATTTCTAATTTTAATTCTTTGATAGAAAAATTAGACATCATATTCCCCTTTATGAAATCATGAGCACTTGGCCCTCTATTTCATCCATTTATGATAAAAAACATGAGCATTTTGAAGTTTTTTTCTCATTCAAAGTAACTTCCCATTCAAAGGATCAATAGTCATATCATTCAAAATAATTCCTCCTTTACCCTTTAAATCATAAATATGCCAATTCCAACCTTTAAGGGTGGCTTTGACATTATTTAATTTATAATTTCCTTTACCCTTTAAATCATAAATATGCCAATTCCATCCTTTAAGGGTGGCTTTGACATTCTTTAATTTATAATTAATTACACCCCCCCGCAAATCCCGATTGTTAGAGTTTACAGAGGATGCCTCCTTTAGCTCTGTCCCTCCGCCGCTCCTTCTATTGTTGTAAAGTAACCTCCTTTGCAAGCGCGGCTCCCTCCAAGAAGAAGAACCTAGTTTTTCTGGGCTCTCCCCGGGTCTCTCTCTCTCCCTCCCTTCCTCTCTCTACCTGAAAAACATGTCTTTTGTGATAATGCCTTCTTAACGGTAACTTAGCAGGTCTCCTTGCCCGTTCTGGATGCTCTTCTCGATGCCTCGAGCCTCTCAACTTCCATCTTTAGGGTAAGTGGTTTGCCATTCAAGCTCTGGACATGGAGTATACGCCAGAAGTTTTGTTTATGGAAATCCGTATTAGCTTGCAGCGATTGTTACCCAGCCACCTTCAAGGAGGGATAGAGGAAGGAAGATGATGCAATCTCCAGTTGCTGAAAGCGCCTTGGAGAGAGGGTTTCCTCAAGACCTTATTTTTACTCCCGAAAGAGCTGGGGAGGTACAATCTCGACATGCTTTTCAACAATTATCTGTGTGTGGATATTTCATAAATTGCAATCTCGACAGGCTTACTGATTCTGGGTAGGGATAGGGGTCGGTTAATCTGTGTTGCAATGGAATTGATGTTTAGGAACCCTAAATTAATCCCAAATTCAAAGTGTAAATCATGTACAATTCTAGGTTAGAAAATCAGTGCTTGAGAAATGGGTTTGTAGATGGCTTGTTAGTGAATTTTATTTGGTTATGTTTGTGGAATGAGGGGGTGGCACTCACCACCGTAAGATTTTTCATTAATCTTTTTAATAAAAAATGTTGCGCTATAAATTTAAATATTTATAAATAATTTAGCTTAAATTTTATTTTTTATTTAATAGTTATGATAATTCATGTCATGATTTTTTGATAAAAATTTTACGCTAGTTGTTGACTACCTAATACAACACTTCAATTTTTGCATTCGAGGCTTGGGACCCGACAATGACAGTGTTTGGATATGAAAATATGGCACTCAATAGGCGTAATGGAGAAAAAAGATTCATTTAGCCGACCCCACTTAGTGGGATAAAGGCTTGTTGGTGTTGTTGTTGAATAATAGGTATAATAATTTGAAATTTTCTCAAGAAAATAAGTCTTAAATTTAAATAGTCACCACTCTTTAGTTTTTTATCTCACCGCCCCTCTCCTTAAACTCTAGCTATGACATTGGTTATAACACACCACAAGAGGGTGGGTGAATTGGGATGTGGACAACATACTTCCAAAATTTACCAACTTTTAAATTAATCCCCAAAATAATACAAGCGCAGAAGATTAATGATGTTTATCGAGCAATATCATACTAGACGTATGTGTAATAAGAATATAAACTGAAGTATAATGATTTACGAAAGTAAAGTGCCAAAATTGTTCCTGTTATTGATTTGGGGTCTTTTTAGTCTCAAGGTTTATAGAAATGTCAAAATAGTCCCCAGACTCTTTAAATTGGGGCTAAAATTATCTGCAAGGAGCATTATTAAAGCTCAATTTTAAAATAGTCCGGTACTATTTTAATAATTCTGTAAACTATGGGACTAAACGACCCCATATAAATAGTTAGGGACTATTTTGGCACTTTACCCATTGATTTAATCAATGACAGTGACATATAAGCATTCAATATGTGGCGATAGCCACATAAGCATGAATATAAACACAGTAATTGCATGTGTGCTTTCATGCATTTAAAATACATATATTTTCTAAGGAAATATGTTGTATTTTATTTGGTTTAGTTGTCATTTAAAGAAAAAAATAAAGTTATTTAATATTTTGAAGGGTTGGCAAAGGGTAAAGCATTGATGGCCATCTCTCTCATCTTTCTGTTCAAAGTCGGAGGCAAAGTCAGAGTTGAAGCGAGAGAAGTGAAACTTGACCATGTTTCTTAGAGGGATGAGTGGAGTTGGAGCTGGAGCAAGAGGAACACGGCTAAAGCACAAGCAGCACATGGATTGCTAGTGTGGACAATATATACATACACATACACATATTGTCTTGGTCATAGGTTCTAATTAAGTGGTTTTCTGGTAATAACTTAAGTAAATTCTATAAGTCTAGATTTACTAAATCCTGCCGGCACCAAAATTTAGTAATTTCGGGATTTAAGACAAGATTGAGAGGAATTGAGAAGAAAATATATTTACTAAATCAAGGATTTAAAATTTGCTCTTTTTTTGTCTGGCAAGATTAAAATCAAATCCATTTTAATTTGTTACCAGACATCCCCTAAGACTACTGGTGTGAAATTTGAGGATTTAATTGTAGCCAATTATTTTCTTTGTTGAAGATTCGTCTAGCACAACTTTGAAGTAGTTGTATTAGTAGAAAATCCTTCATATGGTTAGGCTTATGAACTTTGAAAACCCCCATGAGAAAAAAAGTTGCATTGGCTTGAGCAGTGCATCTATCGAAAGCCACTCATGAGTGAAACTTTGGATATTTTTATGATGGCTTCGCTTCATAATTTCACAAGATTCAATCTGCAGAAAGCAGACGTGCGTCAATATTTGCTAGCACAACATTGTTATAAAAATATCAAGGGAAATTTACATTTGTAGCACACAAATCTTATGTATTTACATATCTCACACGTAAACTTTCAGATTTACTTATATAACACTTTAATGCTTTAAACCTATGTATGAAAATGTGTATTTCACTTTTAAAAAGGGTAATAGTGCTATTTTTTATGTGATGTTAAAGATTTGAGTGTTTTGTGTGTAAATATGAAAGTTTAGGTGTGAGATATGTAAATACGTAGGAATTGTGTGTTATGTTTGTAAACGCCCCTTCGAAGTTCATAAAGAGGTTAAACTTCTTTAATTTTTCGCTCATTGTTGCAGTTTCCTTAGACTGGAGAGCTTCATAAGTTTGCTTTTTTACTTATTTTATAACTTTTTTTAGTTTTTCTAAATGAAGATCTCCTATGTTTTGATGTTTTTCTTGTTAGATAACTGAAATTGTTACTCATAAAATTGAAGAACTATAGATGTTTTCTATTTGCTAATTTTTGTTTCAGTATCTGTAGAGAAAGATAGGTTTTTATTATTATGGGGCATTTACAAAAATACCTCCCAATTCATATATATTTACATATCTAACACCTAAACTTTACTTTTTACATTTATATCACTCAAATCTTTCTTATCACACCAAAATTACCCCAACCATTCATGTATAAGTAAGGTGACATATATGTAAAAACTTTAGATGTTATGTAAATACATAAGAGTTGAGTGGTGCATGTAAATCTTCCTTTTACTTAATCAAATATCTAGTTTATTTCTTGGTTTTTATTATTACATGGCAAGATTTACTCTTTATTGGCATTCTTGAATTGACTCATACACGGCACTCTCTTTGCTCAGGAATCTTTCTTATCAGATTTGAAGGCTCTTAATCCAGAACTTTGCATTACAGCAGCATATGGGAATATTTTGCCGTCTAAATTTCTCGATATTCCGCCGTATGGTAAGTAAAGGTTCTTTTTTTATTCCGCAGAAGTTGTCATTAGGATCCTCCTTAGATTGATTAATTGAAAGAAACTAGTGTGTTTGTTCTGCTTTCTTAACTCTGGAATTAAAATGACCTCCTGTGAAGAGTCAAGGATTATTTTGATGCTTTTTTCTTAAACAATATAATAAAACATTCATTCTTGGTTTGATCCACTTAGGTACTGTCAATGTACACCCAAGTTTGCTACCTTTGTACCGTGGGGCGGCACCGGTCCAGAGAGCATTACAGGTTTTGTGGTTCTTTCTCTTGTCGGAGTTTGTAATGGATGTCACAATGTTCGATAAGTTTACTAATTATTAAATTGAGTTAGGACGGAGTCAAAGAAACTGGAGTATCGCTTGCATATACAGTTCGTGCATTGGATGCTGGGCCTGTTATTTCACAAGAAAAAGTTGAAGTTGATGGCAACATTAAGGTGAATCATTAGAAGTTATTTATCTGCAAAATGGATGCTTATATAACTCAAAAGTTATTTATAATGTAAATCAAGTATTTACAAAGCGCTTGTGAATGGTTATGATATTTCTTTGTATGTTAATTATCTCTAAAAGAATTGAAAAGACAATGAGAATCTGATATCAACATTTTGAACTCATACTGTAGCATAGAGCTTATTTACCAGGACTGGAAGGTAGCAAAAGTATCCGTCTTACATGTCTAAATTGTATCAGTAACTGCCACTTCTATTGTATATTCTGAAATACAATTATGCTATAAACAAATTTTAGATCTTTTTCTTTAAATTTTTAATCTTATGTGCAGGCACCAGAGTTACTTCTAGAATTATTTGGCAAAGGTATCTATCTGGTTTGTCTCTATCTTGCGTAATAAGTTTTTGTTTTTTGTTTTTCTTTTCATGTTTTTTTGCTTCATAGCGCTATCTAAAACGACCTCAATTATCATTCCAAATACTTTCACATATTGTTTATTTTTTAAGTGTTTTATATTTAACTCATTACTTTTCCTACATATATTTTAGAGCACTTACATACATAGCAAACAATTCTTATGGATTTACGAATCTCACTCCAAAACTTCCGTATTTACACGCATAGCACTCAATTCTTTCATATCACATCACAAATAACACTAATTATCACCTTTTAATAGTTAAATCGTATAGGAAAGTGCTATACACTTAAATATGGAAGTTTTGGTGTGAAATACGTAAATCCATAAGAATTGGGTGCTACGAATGTCAATTTCCCTATATAATTCTTTTAAGAGCAGCTATTGTAGATAAGAAATATGGGTGAATCCACCAAGTGTTTCCTACCGTTGTACTGGTTTAATAAGCTCATTTTTAGCTAATGTTTTACAATTTAGCTTAGTTTCTCAACACAAGTAAATGACATTTTAATTTTATTGCTTTTGAATTTAAACTTTGTTTAACACATGCGTGTTGAGCATTGCCATTTCCCATTACCTTTTATTAATGCCCATGTTGATGGCTCCAACCGATGTTTTTTCTCATAAGCCTTAAACAATAATAACTTTAGATTATAGCTTACCTAAGCACACCTAAGCAATTCCAGTGTAGTCATCAATAAGATGATGAAATTATGAAAATCATGATGCTTCAAGATAGGGCTTGGACCCAAGTATTGGACTAAACCAAATCAAAATAAACACTATCATGAGAAAATATTAACAATGGAAAAGGGCAATGATGTCTTTTGCCACACTCACAAGCTTCACATCCAAATTTTGAGACAAAAAATGGAAAATGAGTGGTTTTTTAAAGATGGTGAGGGGATGACCAACATGTCAATGCCACTGACAATGGGTGATAATGGAAGAGAGAGTAGACAACGCCATCTTCAACATTGTTTCCAATCATGTTCTTTGTGTTGAGACACTAAAACATGAATGAGGATGAAGAAAAAGTTACTAAGCAATTATTGGATTTGTTAAGGCAATTTATAGATTACATGTTAATAGGAAAGTGTGGAATGTATAAGAGTTTATGTGAAGTTAATGGCGAAAGACAAGTAGATCCTCTCTCATACATAGGAGAGGGAGATCCATCAATTGTGATGCTAGGAGGGATGGTATGTATGGTATGGCTGTAAATAAATGTGGGTTATTTGTCATGTGGGAAGAACTACAAGAATCAAAAGCCCGAGATGGGCTGAAGTAGATTCAAATAGAAATCATGATAAGTAGAAATCAAATGAGAGGCAGCAGTAGGATTGATGTGGTAAGAAATTGTATTCTTTGAAGAGCAACGATTCTAAAATGAGTAGTTGTAGAATCAAGAGAAGCAACCGTGACATGTTGAGTAGGCGGAGGATAATTAATTTGGGGCATTTACATTCGTACCATCCAATTCCTATGTATTTACATATCTAACGCCTATACTTCACTTTTTTATATTAATGCCACTTAAATATTTCATATCACATCAAAAATACCATCATTTTAACTTTTAAAAAGTGAAATACATCTTTTCATACATAGGTTAGGTTCACTTATCGAAAATTTGAAGTTTAGGTGTTAGATATGTAGATACATAAGAATTGGTGGTATGTATGTAAATCTTGGTAATTAAATTTATCCCAACTATGATCAGGTGAGTGATTAGTTATTTGACAATGAGAGAATGCGGAAAAGAATTGTGATCATGATCACATCCACGTCCACGACCACCGTGACCACGATTGCTTGCTTTGATTCTCTTATGCCAAAATCAAGATTGATAAAGAAAATTCAACACCAATGCAAAATCACATGAATTGCAAAAACTTGACAAAAAGTAACTTTTCATCTTATTTTGCTAAGTAGTACGATCAGTAGTAAATGCTTGATGTTGAAAACATTCATCCCACTTACTTTTCAAGATACTTTAGTAATCTTGAATATATTCAAGAGTGTATGTCTTAGAGATCTTTTCTTCTTTAGATCAGTAGTTGGAACAAAAATATCTCTATTCTTATGATAGTTTCTTAATGCATAATAGGGACATTTACATACATAGCACACAATTTTTATGCAGTTACAAATCTCACGCCTAAACATTCATTCCTACTCAAATCTTTAATAACACATAAAAAATTACACTATTACCACTTTTAAGATTGAAATACACCTTTTCATGTATAGGTTTAAGCACCAAAGTGCTATGTATGTAAATATGATAAGTTTAGGTGTGAGATATGTAAATACATAAGAATTTTGTGCTACGTATGTAAATTTCCCAGCATAATAATGGTACCTTTTGTCATTTCTTGCTACTTTGTATATTTGATGTCCATTATTTTGACAGCTAGAGAATCCAAATGATGATGCTTTTCATGAGCACCAACAAGAAAATGAAAAATCCATACCATATGAGATGATGCTCACATTAAAAAATTACAAAAGAGTGAAATACACCCTTTCATGTATAGGTTTAAGCACCAAATTGCTATGTATGTAAATAATGATAAGTTTCGGTGTGAGATATGTAAATGCATAAGAATTGTGTGCTACGAATGTAAATTTCTCAACATAATAATGGAATCATTTGTCATTTCTTTCTACTTTGTATATTTGATGTCCATTCTTTTGACGGCTAGATAATCCAAATGATGAAGCTTTTCATGAGCACCAATAAGAAAATGAAAAATCCATACCATATGAGATGATGCAATTGAGCTTGACAAAACTATCAATAGTTGAGGAGGGTTTCATTTTAGAGAGAGTAGACAAAGCCTTAAACAAACATCATAAAAGGAAGCTAACAACTATGATTTATTTAATAGCTCTATTAAATCTCTATAGATTATAATGTCAAATTTAGAATAAAAAAATAGATTATAGTGAGAATATTCTCAATTAGAGTAACATATTACATCATACGATAATTTATTTACTACTTTCGAACTTTCTAATCTAATAAATCTCTACGATCATACATGTAAACTTTTATCTTTGGTTGGAGAATGCTACATTTACTTGTCTTCATTGCTCTTTAATCTCTAATCACTTAGTTTTTCTTTCTTTTCCTAACAGGTGCAAAGCTTTTAATACGTGAACTACCTTCAATTCTAGATGGATCTGCAAAGTACAAAGCACATGCACAGGATGATTCTAAAGCTAGTTTGGCTCCTAAGGTAAAATTTGCAAAAAAGGAAGACATTTTGAGGTGAAATACTTTATTTTCATGCAATTTCCACTAAAGTTTTCAAATTAAATTTTTAAATGCTATAATAGTTTCCATTTGTATTGTCTGAACTGTCACTAACATCTAAAAAGTGAAACATACTTTTTGAAGCATGGCTGATGTGCTTTAAATGAAATAAATTAAAATAAAAATTTAGGTATTCGATATGTATATACATAGGAATTGTATGATATACATGTAATCTGCGTAATTAATAATAATAATGATGATGGTTTATAGCTTTTCGGCTTAATCCTTTCGCTCCCTCACTGACTTTTTACAAATTTTTTTCCATTATTTTTGTATCCCATTTACATTTCACCGCAAACTTTTCGATCCAAATCCGGCGGAGTTCGGATCGCAAATTTTAACAGTTTATTTAATTCAAACAATAGTTACTTCAAATTTGAACTCCATCAGCTGGTTTTAAAACAACTCACAATTTATTCCTTTTTTCAAATAACTTCAGCCTTAGCCTCTACTTTATGCAGCTTAAAGCTGATGAATCATGGATTTCTTTTGAACAAGTTGCTACACAAATACATAATAAGGTAAATTCTCTTTCTCCTCTTTCCATCTGAAAAGAAAGATTTACATACATACTGCTCAATTCTTATATATTTACATATCTAATGCCCAAACTTCGATTTTTACATAAATACCTCTTTACCTATGCATTGAAGGTGTATTTCACTTTTTAAAAGGTGGTATTTTTAATGTGTTATGAAAGATTTGGATGGTATAAATGTGAAAAAGCAAAGTTTAGGCGATAGATATGTAAATACTTAGGAATTGCTTGGTATGTATGTAAATTCCCCTTTGAATAATTACAAGCCAATGCCTCCAGGTTCGGGCCTTTGCAGGTTGGCCTGGAACCAGAGCTAGATTACAAGTGATTGATGGTAAATGTAATGCAAATGTGCTGGAAATTAAGATCATCACAACTAGGGTTTACAGAACCTCTGAAACAAATGGTGGTGAAGATGAAATACTGTTTGGTGGATCTTCATTGCTTATTCCGTGCGCAGGATCAACTCTTCTTGAGGTGTGAAAAATTCGCCATTTATGTTCAGAAAAACTTGTGCTAATGAACATATATGTGGGAGTAAAATGCCAAATTAGTCCTTTGATTATTTACATGAGGTTTTTTGAGCTCTAGAGTTTATAAAAATGTCCAATTAGTTTTGGGACTAAAATGGATCTCTAAAAAGAGACCAGTGATCATTTTGGCACTTTTCTCTATATCATGATTTTGCCCTCATCTTTAATGGTAGGTTCTTGAGCTCCAACTACCGGGGAAGAGGGTGACGAGTGCTGTCGACTTTTGGAATGGCTTGCGAGGTCGAAAGCTTAAGAAGTTTGACATTTCGATCCGGCCGGTTTCGCAAGAAAGGTATTGTGGTTTATTACTAGGGAGATTTGCATGCATGCCATGCAATTATTAAGTATAAGTTTCATATTTGCACTTGAAAATATTTTAGTGTCATAAACTTATGTATGAAAATGTTTATTTTACGTTTAAAAAAATAGTACATCATATTTTTGATGTGAATTTGAGGGGTATGACTGGCGTTAGATATATAAATACATGACAATTGCGTGTGATGCATGAAAATGTTTATTTCACGTTTAAAAAATAGTACATGTGATATTTTTTATGTGAATTTGAGGGGTATGACTGGTGTTAGATATATAAATACATGACAATTGCGTGTGATGCATGTAAATATTTTTGATGTGATGTTTTTTTTAATGTAATATTAAATATTTGAGACATAAATAGATAAGATTTCCGTGTTCTGTATATAAATCCTCCAAATTTATTTTACAATCATCTCAAAATAAATTTAACAGCTTTGAAATTCATTAAGATCAATTTTTTTGAAAGATTTACATGCATACCACTCGTTTCCTATCTATTTACATATCTAACCCCCAAACTTCAACTTGTACGAATAAGTGCCACCTTATCCATGCATCAAAAGGTATATTTCGCCTTTCTAAAAATCAAAACAGTGATATTTTTGATCTGACATGAAAGATCTGGGTGGTATCAATGTGAAAATTCTAAGGAATTAGGTGGTATATATGCAAATGTCCCAAAATCTTTTTCTTCTTTATAGCACCATTTTGTAATTTATTAGGCAAATAAGTTGTGTGATTGCAGGTATTGCTAAAGAATAACATCAATCAACATGGAGAAAATTGGTCTCACATGGCGATGGGTATGTATTATCAACAGTTTTATTAGACTTTATGAAATTAGCAGTTTTACTTTGAAGTTGACAGCACTGTAATAATAAAAAAGTACTGGGCTTCCATGAAAATAGTACTTTTTTTGTTCTCTGTCTTCTATACACTTGCTAACATGAATTTAAGAGCAAAGATGGCCACAAGTCATTTGTCCTTTTGCTGCTTTAAGGTTCTGTGTAAAGATAAAAAGGCCTGTGGTTTGGATGCTCATCAATCAATTGTTTTGGAAGATATAATTTTGCAGCTTCAACCCTGTTGGATGGTGACAATTGTAAATTTTTTTTTAATTTTTTTTGGAAAATTTTTTTTTTGTTGTAAATTTTGTGATTTTAGTTATTTTGTCTTCCTTCAAGGGGAGAAACTCAATTACACTTTTTTTTTTTTGGAATTTTACATAAATACTGTATAATTTTGTGTATTTATATATCTAACAGTCAAAATTTGATATTTACACTTAATTTAGGGTCCGTTTGGGGGCAGCTTATTTGGTGCGGTGATGTTTTGAAAACGCACCTAGCTTGTTTGGGTAAACTGCGTTCTGGCAGCTTATGTGTTTTGAAAACGCAGAAAACAATGTTTTCACACCGCACCTAGATATCTAGGTGCGGTGGTAGCTTTCTGGCAGCGGTCTGGCTTTTCCAAAAAAATAAAAATTTGTAACAGTCACTGCACCTAGCTTATCAGCAGATTATTTAATAAGCTGCATGAAATTGTGTAGTTTACTTTTAAAAAATTAGTAATTGTGGTATTGTTGATTTATTGCTGAAGTTTTGAGGATGATAAGTGTAAATATGAAAGTTTAGATATTAGACGTGTAAATGCATGAGAAATGTATTGCATATTTGCATGCATGTAAATGCCTTTTTTGTTGTGCCTCTCTCTCTCTCTCTCTCTCTCTCTATATATATATATATATGGAAGATTTTGATGGTATAAATGTAAAAAATAAAGTTAGATGTTTGGGTTTATAAATATTGGAAACTACTACGAAGTGGCACTCCATGGTCTCATGCTTTCGAAATGTTGGAAAAAGGTTTATGTTAAGATGTTCTGACATAGTTTATATCAGAGTATATGTAATATTTGTATTACGCTAATTTTATGAGTAAATTTAATATTTTTTAAATTCATGTTCATGTAATTACTCCATGGGTGACAACTACCACTTGGTTAGTCTTTTAGGAGAAAATATTATGTCCAGTCATTCGGATACGTGGATTGGTGATATGTTTCAATTGCTCATAGTTTAATAAATCAATTTATCTCATTACATTCTATAAACATTGTCTTTTCAATTGCTCGTAGTTTAATAAATCAGTTTAAAACAATTATGAGCTAACTAAAGTAAGTGATGATAAGTAGTTACAAACATATAACATTCATAATAATGTGACCAATAAATAAAAGGATATATTAATCAAAATAAAACTTGTGAAACTATCATTACCTGCAAAATTTTTAAGAAGAAATAAAATATTACTATTATTTTATCATTTGATTTGTCTTAACGTTAACTCTTTTAAAATTTGAAGTCTAAAACATATAAAATCTAATTAATTTATTATTTTAATGAACTATTAACCTTACATTATGTAAGTGATAAATTTTCATTATACTCCGATTGCGGCTCAACACCGATGTTGACTCCTCCCTACTCAACACCAACACTGCCTCCTCCTATGCTTGACAGAGAGGTCGTCCTCTGTCGACCCTGATTAGGTGAAAGCCCCAACCCACACTCGTCATCTTCTGCACGTGTCGTTCGACTCTCCAGATAAATTAATTGCAACAATATATAGGGCGACCTTCATCACTTTGGCTACACAACTCTCTTGCTTCCTCTCCACCTCTTCGATTCCGTCTCTTCGACACCCCCGAGAAAGTGAAAAAAGTTGTCACATTTTATAGCTCCATCTTCTCTCATTCAGGAGAAGAAATGAGATCACGACATGCATACTCACCATTCTTACAGAATTAGTGTATTTGGGTTGGAACTAGTATTTTTTCCGATTTTTAAGTTTTTTACGTGGTTAAAATTGAGTTGACTCCTTCTATTTAACTCTCTTTAATTATCTGAGTGTATTAGAATCTTGCATAATTTTAATATGTTAAATAATCACTGTAACATACCTTCCAACACATATCAAATATAAAAATATTATTTTCTTCTATAAACTCGTTATGTGGACTTTGTTATTGTCCTAATTGTAACCATGTAGCAAAATGGTTGTTTTGAGTTAAACTCAATTTGAAATGATAACTAAAATTATCTTTATAGCTCTATAACTTATTAAAATTCATGTTAAATGAAGTAAATTTGGTGTCATATCAATAAAAAAAATAGAAATTTTTTTCAAAATAATAATTTTTAAAAACCATGCTCATACAAACATAAAAATATTATATTTCATTTATTGAAATTGAAGGCTGGTTATTTACATATGCACCCTGGGCTGGTATTTCATATTTAAAAAATTGAAATCAGCAGGGTTGGTGGTCTTGGGAAAAGGTTATATTCTCATTCTCCCTCTTGCCATCGTCTCGCGAGAAGCTTAGTAGAAAGTAGAGGGAAGAAGAAAAAAAAACAGGGAAAAAAGGACAGAAAAGGTAGCAGAAGGACGTGGCTAATGCGTAGAAGTAGGGGGAAGGCCTGTCATGTCGCTGTTCCTCTCTCTTTTACTGAATTTGTCCCTGAATTTAGCGTCAAATCACTTCATTTCTCTATCTTTCGCCCTTTCCCTCATTAGGCTATTGGATGAACATTTCTCCCGTTTTTTAGCCTTTGGATAGCATTTTAGATATTTAGGAGGCAGCAGGCGTTGGTGGGTTAGAGGAAGAAGCTCTCGTTGCTGTGGAACTTAACAGAGGTTTTCGTGGGGCATTATTTGTGTTAGAGCATTCTCTTTCTCTCTCTTTCTCTCTTGCACAGAAAATTTAACTTTTTTCTCACTTTTTGATGTGTTTGAAGGCGTTGCTCATCTCAGAGGTCTAGTTAAAATGACGAAAGGTGAGGACTTTAAGCTTCTGAAGATACAGGTACATCACTTCGACCATTTTCATGGCTTCCTTCTTCTATGAGCAAAGCTTCTATTTTTGTTTTTTGTTTTTTTTGGTGTGGTGGGAGATGCAAAGGGGAAGGGATTATAAAGGCGCAGTATTTGTTTTATTTTGATTTATTTGCAGACCGTTAGTCTCAAAGTGAACCTGCACTGTGATGGCTGTAAGCAGAATGTGAAGAAGATCCTTCAGAAAATTGAAGGTATTTTGCCTCTTGTTTTCTTCATGTCATCTCAAGATTGTTTTTTTTTTTTGGTTCTTTGTTTTGGTTCTTTGTTTTCTAGTTTATTTTCTTTGTTTTCTAGTTTATTTCTATGCATTTAGATATTCATTCGATATATACGGATTGAAATCCATTGGTACTTTTTTTATTGTTTTGTTTGAAAAGATTTTTTTTTTTCTTACTATGATCAGAAAATGGTCCTATTGTTTATATTTCACAAAAGGGTAAGAAAAAAGACTGCTTTTGTACTGTTTAACTTATACTATGCATAAAAATCCTTGTTCCAGATTCTATGATTTATATAAAGTGTTTCATCCTCAAATTTCTTTATTTTCCCTCTTTTTGATCCATTTTATTATATTCTTGCACAAATATCCTGTACTTCCATCCAACAAAAAACACCATCTGTGAAAAAAAATGATTTTTTTTTTCCAGGAGTTTACACAGTCGCCATTGATTCAGAGAAGCAGAAGGTTACAGTTTCAGGAAATGTGGACGCAGCCACACTTATCAAGAAACTAGCAAAATCTGGGAAGCATTCAGAGCTCTGGAATCAGAAACCTATTAACTCCACAAATAATCAAAATCCCAAACCAAACAACAATCCTCACCCACATCAGTCTCAGCCCATCAAAACCAGCTCTGCTAAGAACAACAATGACAGTTCTGGCAGCAACAAGCCTCAAATAACCCAACCCCTCCTGCAAGGTCTCAAGACTTTCAAGAACCAGCAGCCCAAGCTCGAATGTTTCAGCTCTGGTGATGAATTTTGCGATGAAGACAACGATGGGGATGATGAAGATGACCTCAACTTTCTGGGCCATAAGTTGAACCTTATGAAGCAGGTAAATCCAGTAAGGAAAAACGGTAAGAATGAAGCAGGGTCGAACCAGAAAAATGGAGGGATGATGAAGACTCCAAACTGCTCAGAACTGAATGGAGCAACAAACACCAAGGCGATGAGTAATCCAATCATGACTAATGGGATTTTGGGATTTGGAGCTCTTCAAGGTCTCAATAATGGCTTCCCTTCCTCTGTTACTAACTTCAGTGGCAGCCATGGCAATCCTTCTCTTCAAGGTCTCAATAATGGCTTCCCTGCAACTGTTACTAACTTCAGTGGCGGCCATGGCAATCCTTCTTCCATGATTATGAATGAAAGCAGGTATATGCAGCCGCAGGTGATGTATAATATGTCTCCTCAGATTCCTCCCTATACTGGCTACTACCCCTACCCGTACTGCTACAACATTAACTACTGCAGTGACAACATGAGTCATCCATTAGAGGATTGTGGAGCTTTCAGTTACAGTAGTGATGAGGACAAAAGCAGTTGTGCTGTTATGTGAGTGGAGAGGAAGGAGGAGGAGGAGATTTCTGTAGTGATGTGATGAGTAGCTCTGCTCATTTGCCTTTCTTTTTTTCTTTTTTTCTCTAGGGATGGTTTGGAATAGTGTTCTACTTTAGTTGCAGTGAAGATTATGTTTGCTGTAAGAGTGTTTTGACTTTTAGTGTCAACAAAATTGACTCTTTGTGAGAAGTGAATTGATTCTTGGAGCATTTACATATATACCAAATAATTCTTATGTATTTACATATCTAATACCTTAAGATTCATATTTATATGCATGCCACTGAAATCTAACATCATATTAAAATACTATCATCATCGTTATCTTTTTAAATGTGAAATACAACTTCACATGAATAGAGTTATGACACTAAGATGTTATTAAATGTAAATATCAACCTTTGAGTGTTTGGGTATGTAAATATGGAAGAATTGTGTGGTATGTATGTAAATTTTCATTGATTCTTTCTCTTGGGCAGTGTCAGTTTTGAGGGATGATGTGGGACTGTTGTTGCAATGTTGAAGCTTCACTATTTGGTTAGTAAGTAATAGAACGTCGGAAAGCATCAAAATAAAATAGAAAAAAGGGGAATTTACATGCATACCACCTAATTCCTGTATATATATAATATTTAAATTTGGTTTTTATATTAAAAATATCATCATTTTAACCTTAAAAAAAAAAAAGTGAAACATCGCTTATCATGTAAGGTTAAGATGTATGAATGAAAAGAAAATTGAAGTTTACATGTTATATATTGTTGAATCTTGATTTATTCGTGAATCACATCTTAAGGGTTAGATCTTAAGAAATAAGAGAGAGAGAGAGAGAGAGAGAGAGAGAGAGAGAGAGGAATGAATGCCGATGAATATTAAAATTTTTTATCAATTAATTTGCATAAAATGATCTCTTTATTTATAGGGAAGTGTATGATATATGATATTATATTTTTGTCTCTCCTGCAATGGCGGTTGTATAAGGTATTTTAGATATTTTAAATGTACGAGTCTATTGCTTGGTTGTCCTATGGCTCGGTCGGTTGGGCTAGCATGACTTCAGTTTGGCAAGGTCGATTCAACCAATAAAGCTAGGTCGGTGCAGTCGCTTAGCTGGTCTTGACTTGTTTTGGGTCGAAATAACTGACTCGATCATTAAAATTTATTGATCGGTTGATCTAGTTTGGCTATTGACTCTCTATTCTTGAATGAGATAAAGTCCTTGTTGGCAGAACGAGACTAGGCAATCGGGTATAGAGTGAATCATCGTAACCCGATAGATAGTTCATTCCTTGGTGAGTGAGTTCTTTAGGATGTTTTGTTGAGTGTGGAGCCCAGTTATAATATAATAAATATATATGCTTTTTTGCCATTTCTGAAACTACTCCCGCCTATTTGCTTGTGCCTAAGGAAGGTGGGTCCCGCCACCATTAAAGAGGTCCTCGATAATGAACCTCAGAGGCATTTGTAGAACTACTGGTGATGCTGATGAGCTATATTCTTTCATTGGGTCGGATCTATCGAGAGGTAGGCCAATGTTTTGGTTCGGCTTTCTTTTGCGGTTAGCTCGAGTGCATATTTGTCTTGCTATTGTTCGATCGTTTCAAATTCAGATCATTCTTTTTGTCCTTCTCCAGACTTGGATGACCTTCATTTTTTTCTCGAATATATAATTGCATCAAATTGAATAAGTGGGTCTCTTAGTCTTCTGTCAGTGGACCTCCCTTTATCATACTTCTTTCCTTTTAGACTATTGGATCTCCTCAAGATCCGTGAGGGTACACATATGCAACTACATAAAAATTGATTGATATGTATGTAAATCATTCAATAAAAAACAGAAAAATTTACAAATCTATCACACAATTCCTATGAAGTAACATATTCAAGACCTAAAGTTTGATATTTTATATTGATAAATTTGAGGAGGGGATGATTGTAAGAGGGCGGTCAACAAGAGAGAGTTTTCAGTGGCAGTGTTTGTCTCCTGCTTTTGGTACAAGGAGGATAACATATGGCCTCAAATAGAGGAAGCTGAAAGCTACTTTTCAAGTATAGTTCTGCCTTTCATGTGTGCCTTTTTTGGTGGAGGACCATTTGGCATGCACCGTAAATGTTATGTGCCTAAATATTTTATATCATGCTTTATTGAGTTACTTTAGAGACTGAAATTCAAAGAGATGTGTGATTTAGGGAAGGTTTGGTTCCCTGTATTGGTGATATAAAGTAAACCAAATACAGTGTTTTCAAAGTTCTAGCATTTGAAGGATGAAAATGTTAGCATTCTCTGTATATTGACCATGTTTGTTGTCTTATTCCTTGGGCATATCTTACCCATGTATCATGTAGGTATAAATATGTGTATAAGTTTTGTAAATATGAAAGTGGGTTATCTCTGCCTTGATTCTTTTCTCTCCCTTTTCTTTTCATTTTTCCTTCATGGAGCTTTTCAAGAAGACTCAAGTTTTCTCTCTTGGTATCAATGCAATTCAATGTAGTGTAAAATTTTGATGAATTTAAAATCATTTTGTAATTCAAAATTGGCTTATTCCAAATTTGTTAAATTTGGGCTAGTTTCAAATACATTTCAATTGCAGACTGTTGTCGTTGCCACTGTCGCTCATCAGTTGTCCGCCCGCCACCAGACGCATTTGTCATCTGCAACCAATTACCACTTGATATCATTGTCAATTTCTACGCTTCGTTGTCATAGCTACATGCTTGACGCCGGCCTCTAACTGTTGTTGGTTGCTGGCCACTGTGTGCTCGCTCACTCGCCGCGAGACTCACAACTACCGATCACCACCGTCATTACTATTGTTGGTATGTTTTACATTGATTTCATTTTTCTTCAAACCAAATGTAGAAATATAAATTTTTTACCTTTATATCGAATCAAACAACTTTTACGTATTGAAATATACTATATTTCAATTACTTAAATGATCAATGTTAATTTAAAATAATGACAAATGAGGATCATAGAATAAGACTAATAATTAAGGTAGAGGTGTGTCTAAATATTATTGAAGAAGCTAATCCAAAGTTTGTTATAATGTGTACTTGTGATATGACACAATTCAACAAATAAGATAGATTCTATAAAGGGAAGGGTAAAAAAACAATTAAAATTTAGGCTATTTCTAAGCAATTTTCTATGTTTTAGGCTTAATTTTAAATTCCACTTTACATGCACAAATTAAAAACTAGTAAACTACTAGGTATCATGTTCACATTAGAGGCCATTATTTACATTAACATATTTTCCAATCATTAAAAATATTACATTTATCAAAATTAAATATCAACAATCTATAATTAAAGTGGGGAGAAAATGTGGTAGCATCATTGCCTTACAAATCTTTTTCAATGATTATTACTTTCAAGGAAGATTTGCATGTATATATATACCACTCAATTCTTATGTATTTACATATATGACAACTAAACTTTAATTTTTAGATATATGCCACATTTTCAATGCATGCAAAGGTATGTTTCACTTTTTAAAAATTAAAATAGTGTTATTTTTTTATGTAATATGAAATATTTGAGTAGTATAAATATAAAAACAAAGTTTAGTGTGGTATATGTAATTTGGAGGTATGTATGTAAAGTACACCTTTTTTTAATGAAGTTTCTAGGAAATTAATGTGAATGCAAATGTTTGTGCAGAACTTTTCTACATCAATAAAGTTTTAGAATGTCTCAAGTAGATAAAAAAAGAAGATCAAGACTACAGATGATGTATTATATTTATAGGGTTGTGGATGCAATTATTTTTAAAATAATTATATATTTATTGTCAACAAAAAAATATTTTTGAAAGATGTTGTTAATGTTATAAATTCTTTCTCTTAAAAAATAAATAGGGCCACTTTGTATTTATGAGCTCATCAATGAGTAAAATTACCATTTAGTTAAGTGGGGCAATGAAAAAGAAATAAACAATAGAAGGTAATTAATAACATAGCGAAAATCCAAAAGAGGTAAGGGAGAAGAAGAAATAATAGGAGAGTAGTGCAAAGGAAGGGAAAGAAGGAAGGAAAGGCCAACCACTAACATGCACAAATCAACTAATAAACATTAGCTTGGTTTGTCTATGGTTTACCTATGGAGTGTAATCTTCAACTTTATAGTATATCTTTAGCCTCTTAATGTCAATATTGCTCCATCACCAAGGATGTTCATAACCTTTTTGTTAGTTTCTGCATTGCTACTTTCATTTGGAAATGGACGGATTCTATCTTTAAAAAAAATTGCTTTCAATCTGATATCTCTTTAAATATGCTTAAGCAAGTGGTTAGCGCATGCTCCAATAAATTCTAAGAATCATATTATTCGTATTGTTCTATCTCTCATTCTATGGTTTATTTGGAATGCTAGGAATAGCTTGAAGCATCAGAACATTAATATGAATAAGTATTATAGCATTATTAATATTTCTTATAAAATTAAACTTTTAGTTAGAGCCAACTTAATCAATTCTAAATGCTTCAAAGACTTTGGGCATGCTCTTACTGCCAATAGTCTTCATGATTTAGAACCCCCTCATCCTTAATTATTAAAATGCATTGGTTCGCTTCGCGGATGAGGTAGGTGAAATCCAATAGGGATGGCTTAATATCAATAGATCCGTTGGTTTTAATGATCTCTTGAGAGACCATATGGGTAATTTCTTAATTGCCTTTATTGACCCGATTAACACTTCTTCTATTTTTTACACTGAATTATTTGCCTTGAAAGAGAGCTTAATCTTAGCTATTTCTCTTAATTTTCATAATGTGTGGTTTGAGTTAGATGCCTAGTTGGTGGTGCAACTCTGTTTAAATTTTGGTAACAATGATACTGTCAATTGCCACATTTTTTATCTTTTGCGTGAAATTTGTTACCATTTGAATTCAATCAATTAAAAGTTGTCATATATTTTCAGAAAAGGTAATTCATGTACTGATTATTTGGCGAATTTACGACCTTGCCTTCCTAATTATCAATCATTTTCTTTTGCTGATTCAAATAAACGTCTAAAATGTATGATTTTTTTAGACAAAATTGGTCCTCCTTAGCTTCGATCTTGTTAATATTTTTTCTTGGTGTTTTAATTATGGTGGGAGAAGGGTCTTAACTGCTTTAAAGTTTGTTGTGTCTGACTGTTTTAGTTGAGGCTTTTTTATTACTTCTTGGTTGGTTGTGGGTTTGAGT